TAAACCCATGTACACACACTGACAACCTGCTCATTCCGATTTTGAATGTCTGTCTTCCTACACGACCTCCAACACTTTTCTCTCAGTAAATCAGAGGATGAGTTCTGACAGACTTAATTAGTAAAATAAATAAATGAATAAATCACACACACCAACAACATCTCGTTTATGACCTGTTGATCTCCTAACTCTGGTGCACCACTTTGTATTTTAGAAGCACGATAACTAGAAACTATAGGAACAGGCTTCTATGTGGAACTGGTTTGTAGTCAGTGGTGAACATGATTTGAATTATTTTTATTCAGTAATATTTATTTTAATAATTACTATTATTAAAGTCAACGGTGGAACGTGTTAGGTTTACACATTTCCTGAATAAAACGTTTGTTTTCGATGTGTGGATGAATCTATTTTAATTAATTTATCTCTTCGGCCTGTCATTAATATTTTTTCTGTCAACAGAGGATTCATCCCAACAAACTGATGAAGTATGCAAAGTTGGTAGATTCCAACAAAAGGCGAAAATCAAGAGGTTGCCACTCAACACCAGCACAAGTCCTCCAGCGTCTGCAGCTTGTCAGAGACTCTTCAGTCACGCAGCTATAAAAGATCTCAGCTTCACTGCAGAAACCCTGAGAGACGACTGCTGTTGAAGCTCAACAGTCACTTTACTGATGATTCTTTCTGGGACTGAGGATAGAATTTCTGATTTAAATTCAGCATGACACACATGTAGCCCCCTGCTTGATGTAAAGGGGTGATTTTAACTTAAAAGCTAACAGTCGGTGCTGTTTACAGGGTTTCAAAATAGCAAGGAAAAAATTGTCTAACAAAAACGTCTTGGGGAAACAACGTTTTGCAAAAAAAAAAAAAAAAAAGGGTAAAAATTATTTATTACCAACTTGTTGTGGCAAAAGTTGCCTTAATGTGTTATTTAATAAAGATGTATTTATTTTCAGCCTCATTAAAAGTTCTGTTTTTTCATTTGCACATCCTGTAATGACATAAACGAGACGTTACTCAGCAATTACTTGAGTAGGTTTTAATCCAAGTACTTTATTACTCTTACTTAAGTAATTCTTGGATGCCTTCCCTCTGCTTTTACTTGAGTAATATTATGCTAAAGTAACATTACTTTTGTTTAGGTAACATTTTGGGATATTCTACCCACAGGAACAGTGGAGAGAGATGCAGCAAATAGACCGGCCAGCATTCAAACCAGAGACTCACTGTTTAGGAATAATCAGCATCAACGTGTGATGCGCCCATCGGGTCACATCAGAAGAAGCTCATAAGTTAGTATTTCCGTGTAAGTAAAACCAGATACATAGGTTCAGCAAGGCAGCGTGCTTTTAACAGCAGCATATCGTATGCATAGAAAGAGCTTAGCGTCATTGAAGCAAGATGTGATTTGTTCTCACTGTTGACGCTGAAATCTGAACCTCATCTGCTAAACCAACTAAACAGATACATCCTAACCCACTACAAGCTCAGTCAAGCGTATAAAGTCACGATGGGAGGAATGTTAAATGGGGGGAAAAAAGGGTAGAAGACATCTCTGCTTGCACTTTACCTGTGAGTGTAGTTTAATAGGTGCGATGGTTAATCCATCATCAGTCCAACTGCAGCTAAATCAACCAGGAAATCGTTGAGAGGTTGATGGAGGTTCTTGGTGCAGCAGCTACAAAGTTCCAGGTCAGACCGGCATAAGCATGTAGAAATCTACAAAACATCTACCCAATCAAACAATGTCTATTTAAAAAGACTTCCCACTCCCAGTCAGGTTAGACACGAGAATGTAAGTTCTGTTCCTCAACACTGTCAGAATCTGTCAGTAATTACCCTCCAGGTAAGCAACTTAACGCTCCTTAATTTAAAAACAGCGACAGACCGATATTAGCAAAATTAGATTTCAGGTTGGGTGAGGTAAGTAGAAATTTGTTAAGCATCTTAACCTCAGGTAGTGTTTTAAGTCCTCCTCCTAATTTCTTATGTCTTAAGTCAGGTCATGAGGCTGTTGCCTGAGACACTTAGTGTGCCAGAGTTGAAGGGCATTATGTGCAGTCCCGCTTGGACTGCTGTGTTTTTGGGTTACTTATAAAACATTTATTTATATCAAAATCGGCCGCGGATGAAGGAATGCAATGGAAATTTTAAAAAATGTGAAAGGGGGTAGTGTGTAGTCATGTTAATGTTATAATAAATAAATCACAATGTTGGTTTCTTACGTTTCTTTCTGTTTGCTTTTTCAATTATTTTCTTTTTGCATAATTTTATATCACTCTCAGCTACTGCAAGCCTCTCTGTGAATCACAATGACCAAATGTCAGCCTCTACGGAATCTAAACTAACACTCAGCGCAAACTAAAATTTAAGAATCCCAAGGATGCATATCATACATAAAATAAGATGAACTAAATAAATGTATAGATGATGCACTAATTTGCAAAAACCTACATCAAATAAACAATATAAGCAAGCACAAAAGTACTCTACAGAGGTATTTCAACTGGAAATGAACAGAGCTTTACCAGAATCAGTGGATTGAGAACCATAAGGATGCAATACAAAGTTTTTTTTCAAATTAAAAAACAAGGTTTTCTGATGCCGGACATTCATGGAAACTAATGGTGTTGCTGAAGCTTAAGAAAGATAACAAACGGCTAAGTCTTTATTTGATGTTTTCTTTTCCGACCAGTGACCAGTCACCTTTGCGGGTGAGACGCTGAGGTTAATCCGATGGGGATAATGACACCTACGCTTGTCCGTATGGAGGTGGGTGATGAGGGTCAAAGTGCTGCTTGTGGCATGAAACTATTACTGCTAAAACCTTCAACTCAGTGTATTTAAGCAATCACAAAAAGAAAGCAAGAAAAGTAACTCGCTTAGCTCATTGAATTAAATACCACCAATGAATTAGTAGAGTAATGGTTGAGGACCTTCACCTTGTCCCAACACTGTGAGGAAACATAAATGTGTCCTTGGCTCTGGCTGAGGTGCCCCATTCTGAAATGCACAATCCATTACATGTTCTCATTGGTCCATATATAAAGCGAATAAACAGTACAGATATAAATGTTCTCAAAATCAGGAGTGTACCGTTAATGAAGTCGGACTCATACATGTATGGATGTGTTTCTCATGATTCAAAGTTTGATTTGCTTGCCCTTAATATTGTCCTCAAAGTTGTAAAAGTTGGACGCGATTCCAGTCTTTTATGTCACGATACAACAATTCCTCCAGACTTGGGAAGTGAAGCATTATCTGTAGCTCCGGCATCTCTATCCGGTGTTAAGATTGATTACTGTCCTCTTAACCCCTGAACTACCTCACAATCCTCTAATCCCATTTTGGCTGTTTTGGTACAATGGGGTTAGTGAAGGGGTATAAAAACCACACCGAGCAACTCAGGAATCCGTGTCCATCCTCACTACTGAACTCTTCTTCGCAGCGAAAGCTCAACAGACCAACCGACAAGCAAACATGGTTTGGGACGGCGGAATCGAGCCCAATGGCACTGAGGGCAAGAACTTCTACATTCCCATGACCAACAGGACTGGGATTGTTAGAAGTCCTTTCGAATACCCCCAGTACTACATGGTGGACCCGATGATCTACAAGCTTCTAGCTTTCTACATGTTCTTCCTGATCTGCACTGGAACTCCCATCAACGGCCTGACATTGTTTGTGACCGCTCAGAACAAGAAGCTCCGGCAACCTCTCAACTACATCCTGGTCAACCTGGCTGTGGCTGGACTCATCATGTGCGCCTTCGGCTTCACCATCACCATTACATCTGCTATGAACGGCTACTTCATTCTTGGACCCACTTTCTGCGCTATTGAGGGATTCATGGCCACACTTGGAGGTAAGAAATAAAATGCAAAGGAGAAGCAAGAATACAAGAAGTTAGGCTTCCCATTACACTGGCAGGTGTAAAATAGAAGTGAATAACGTATCTGTTACCTGTTCTCTCTACAGGTGAAGTTGCTCTCTGGTCACTGGTCGTCCTGGCTGTTGAGAGATACATCGTCGTTTGCAAACCCATGGGAAGCTTCAAGTTCACCGGCTCTCACGCTGCAGCTGGAGTCATCTTCACCTGGGTGATGGCCATGGCTTGCGCCGCTCCCCCACTTTTCGGCTGGTCCAGGTAACATATCTCTCAATTTAGTTAAATAGAAGTTTGTATTTAAAGATTTATAAATTCAGCCAAAACCAAACGTAATACTCCAAGAAAATGACGGCGTTTTAATCATGACTTTCCTTTTCTTCCACCTCACACAGATACCTCCCTGAGGGCATGCAGTGCTCCTGCGGACCCGACTACTACACTCTGGCTCCAGGCTTCAACAATGAGTCATACGTCATCTACATGTTTGTCGTCCACTTCTTCATCCCAGTCTTCCTCATTTTCTTCACCTATGGCAGCCTTGTGCTGACAGTCAAAGCCGTAAGTTCTTCCTTCATTGTTAACACTTAGTAACAGAACAAGCTAAGCACCATCATTGTACTGTCTGGCAGGATTTACTGAATAAACTATAAAACCTTCTTGCCTTCGACAGGCTGCAGCCCAGCAGCAGGACTCTGCATCCACCCAGAAGGCTGAGAAGGAAGTGACACGCATGTGCATCCTGATGGTCATTGGCTTCCTGGTAGCTTGGACCCCATATGCCAGCTTTGCCGGTTGGATCTTCCTGAACAAGGGCGCTGCCTTCTCCGCCCTGACAGCAGCCATCCCCGCTTTCTTTGCAAAGAGCTCAGCCTTGTACAACCCCGTGATCTATGTGCTGATGAACAAACAGGTTGGTTCCACATATGCAAACAGCTTCATCTTCTCTTTCTTTTTGCAATCCTGAACTGTGCATGCTTAGACTCTGCATTCACTCTCTCTGCTCTGCCTTTCAGTTCCGTAACTGCATGCTGAGCACTATTGGAATGGGCGGCATGGTGGAGGATGAGACCTCAGTCTCAACAAGCAAGACAGAGGTGTCCTCTGTGTCTTAATCCTGATGACCTCCTCAAACCTGTGGACATTTTCCTTACTGATTGCTTCCAGATTTTAAGTGATCCCATCAAAGAAAGTCATGAACTTTTGCCAAATGGATTTATGGATGTAACAAGCGGACTCTGAACCAAACCTGCTAAGGAATTCTGTCTCATCTGTTAATATGTGTAAACTACGAAGTGTAAAGGAATCCATTTGCTGCGGAAGTTATCTTGTATAGCATTTGTGCGTCTGTGTGCGTGTGAGCGCATGAGTGCGTGAGTGAGTGAGGGCGAGTGAACTCAGACACTCAGATCTCTCGAGGCAAACTGTAAATCTGCTGAAATGTCACGCAATCAAATGTGGGGAATTTTCATGTAATTATATGGGGGAGCCTGTGTTTCACTGGTGGTATTTTTATGTATTTAATGAAAAAGAAACAAAAAAAATCCTAGAATGAAATAGATAATAAATGCATGCATGAAAAAAAAACAAACTTGCTGTTGTGTTCATTTAACTCTGACTGGCTGGTTGAACATTTGAGTCCATCTGAATTACAAGGCTGAATATTTGGAGCAAAGAACTATGAGCTGATTCTAAAACTTTGATTAGCAGCTTTCTCCAAGTGACAAAAACAACATAAGAAAATTTGAGAAACTAATTTCGATGCCTTTTGGATCAAGTCTAAAACCTCAATGGTCACCTTCTGACTATATCCTCCTTCTCAGCTTAATCTTAACCCTTAAAAGTCATCGAGTCACAGCTTGACTGTCAGTGATCCTCCTTCCGAGCAGCAGATGGTTTTCATCAGGCTATGATGATGGTAATCCTTTGGGAATCCTCTAAAGCAGTTCCAGGAACAAAGGATATCTCGTGGAACTGCTGCTGGAGAAGTTAGTTGTGTCATGACCCACCCCAGCCTCGACCCCAGCCCTAGCCTGTCTCCCTCTCTGCCCCTCTCGCTCTCTGCCCCTCTCGCTCTCTGCCCCTCTCCCTCTCTGCCCCTCTCTCTTTCTGCCCCTCTCCCTCTCTGCCCCTGTGCATCTTGCCTCTAATCAGGACAATCACCCTCAGCTGCAACTTCGGACTCACCTGCACACTATCACCACTGCTCCTATAAATACTCGGTTCATTCCACCACAAGCCGCCGGATCATAGACATTACATTTGCACGTTTCTGCCGGTCTCCACTTCGCCTCTCCCTGGATTCCCCTGAGCCTCTCTGCCCCCTCTGTTTTCCCTCCTTTGTGAGTATTCCTGGTTTTTTGTAGCTTAGAATCCGTTAGGTTTCCCCCTCTGTTCTTAGTTGGAGTTTTGTAGCTTCGTCCTTGTTTGAATTCTGTTTGTTTCCCACTCTGTTTAGTCTGCACCCTTGTTTTAGTTTTCAGTTTTGTTTCTGCCTTAATAAAATCCTTTTGCACTGAACCTGCCTGTCAGCCTGATCTGTGTCTGCTCCTGGGTTCCCCGATTGCCCCACAAGTTGTTAGATTTACAGCATTTATACTTGCTGTTTATTTTCTTTTTTTTGTAATTATCTACACACCGCTTAATCCTCACGAGGGTCACGGAGGGCTGGAGTTTATCCCAGCTGACTTAGAGTGAAGGCAGGGGACACCCTGGACAGGTAACCAGTCTATCACAGGGCTACACTTAGAGACAGGCAACCAAGCACACTCACATTCACACCTACGGACAATTTAGAATCACCAATTAATGTTTTTGGACTGTGGGAGGAACCCGGAGAGAACCCACGCTGCTGAGAACATGGAGACTCCACGCAGAAAGATCCTGGGTGTCCTAAACAGGACAGGATGTAGCAGGCGATGGTGCTAAACACAGAGCCACCGTGTCGCCCTTTTTTTGTAATTATGGGTAACTTGTTTAAAACAGATTTCCTGGGATGACAGCTGTAGTTTTATGAAAGCTTGGTATCAGAACATCTTATTAGATTACAAAATGAGAATAGTTTTGATTTCTTCAGAGCTCCAGTTATCAAGTGTTGTATTTCTCAGATACTACAGGACCAAAACTATTTTAAATCTATTGTAAAGTAGACGGTATAATATTTAGTAAAAAATAACCAGAGACAGCCTCATCTGTGGGACTGTTAAATAAAATAAAATCTTCCTGAGGGGATACAGGTTGAACCAGAAAAGGTGTTATTTCACATTTTTTTCAAAAGTTTCTGTAGGTGAATTTAAAAAAAACACAAAATATAGAGTAATAATACATTTATTTTGTATAGTGCTTTTCTAGATACTTAAAATCGCTTTACAGGGTACAAGATAAAAACAGAAACAAGCAAGTGGAATAAAAAAGTAAGGTATGAGCAAAGAATGAACCCAACTACCAAATGTCCTGATGACTGAGAATCTTCACAGATGATGATGAAGACATACAGTGTGGTGTTGCGTTAGCGCACTGCAATTAACTTCATCTGGAGAGTCATGAGTAAAGACAAGAGTCTGAGAACATTTTCTTGTATCGCCAAATGCAAAACAGGTTGTTTTTTTTTTCTCTCTCACAAAAGCCTGAATGTTGAGTCTAATCATGTGAATTAAAAAAAAATAAAAAATTGTCACAATAATTAGCTATTTCACGTTGCTTTGGGTTAAATAAACTTCTACACAATGACAATTTGGTGTTCTATTATTTATTTATTTTTAAATCTTAAAGACCTATGTGGCCATATATCCAAAAACAACCCTGCAGCCCAACATATAAACATGTCAACACTGTTAATGCTTCCCTCCACTGACAGAACCAAGGTCATGTTTGAGTTGCTGTGGTGTTATACCGCCACCTGGAGGCCACACTCATAATATGTGACTCTTCCAGTCCGTCTGCAGTGCAGCTCGTCACGCTGTGTGATTTCAGAAAATGTAGGCTACAAAAACTTCAATAGAGGAAATATTACACATCATTTCTACTCCAGTGCAAAAGCAAAACAGTAAATCACATTAAATGCAAATTTAAATGGAATGACATTGAAGCATCCTGCGTTGGAGAGCTTCCAGTTGACAGAACAGGTGAATGATGCCCCCTGCTGGTATATTTAAAAATGTTCGCGCACATGTTCCACGTTGTTCTCCATTTGGGAATTAAAAATCATGGCTGCTTCATGTTCTGCAGAGAGAACTACAAACCAACACGAAGCGCTACACACCACTACAACATGCACAAGCACAAAGGGGATTAATTACATTTAAATATACCCTTCCTCCATCCTCCATGGGCCATCCATTTCATGATGTAGCCCCTTATTTCCTGCTAATAACCTGACCCTAATTGGCACGCTGTTTGCATATGCACCATAATCTTCTTCAAAGAGCCTCCTCTGGACACCTGCATGTGCTCATTCTCTCTGTCAAGAGGCTGGCAGGAACCAGCATCGCCCGTCTTTGTTCTAATTGCTCGGATCGGATAGGAGGAGCTGCATGCAGAGGTCTTAATAACAAACTCGGGGATTACACGGTCTATACTTCCAGGCTAATGTTTGCTGAGAGGAAGAGTAGAAGAACATAATGATTCAGTTAGCAGCAACATGCATCGTAGCAAGAGCGCTTTCAGGATCTTAGTTGGGTTTTAATCATTTTTTAAAAGAAGGTCACATAATATGAACCACTATAATGCGTGTAGAACTTGTTTTTTTAGACCTGACTTGTGCTGATTGATTGTAAAGGCGATTAAATAGCAATTTATCGTACGTGCCTGTATCTTTTCTATCTTTACACCAATGAAAACAGTGGAAATCCAACTGAAATGTTTTTGTCGGATCTTTAACAGGCTGAAAAATGTGTGTCTCACAATGTCATATATTTAAAACGAGACATTTAGCCACACCGGTAGCTTTAGTGCCATGACATTTTAACCTTTGTTGAAAACAAAACCAAAAAAGAAACCAAGCACTGTGGTTGTTAGAGATTAGGAACATAACATTGCAATAAGTGATCAGCTTGCTGTGGAAAAATATAATTTTTACATAACCTCAAAGCACACATTTGCTCCTAAAAGCCTTACAAACACAACAACAACAGCAGCAGCAGTAAAGCAGGATGCCCTCGTCTACTGTGCCGCCATATTACTTTGCATCTCAGACACTGCATCAATATTTTACCTTTTCATCGATCACGAACAATTTGTTAAACATCTGGAATCATAAAAGCAAATAATTAATGTTCACACAACTCATTTAAAATCAGCGCTTTAAAAATACTAACAGTATAGTTTCAGACCATTCACTGCCGGTGGAGACGGAGGAGAGGGTTTGTTGCTGAGTTGTACGGTTGTAGTGCAGCGACTGATAACAGCCAATCATGACGTAAACGAGAGTGTGTTCCTCACAATCTTCACCCTGGAGGGGATTTTCCAAAAGGTCAGTTTTCAGTGACCTAAAACTGTGTTTGCATGGGAGCAAAAGGCCAAAACACAAAACAAGTGTTTTCAGTAATACCCCGGCACATGTGGACACGGTCTGGGCCGCCACGCTGGAGGATCATCTGGGTCGCTGCCTTCACAGACAGTTTAGTGCTTCGGTTGACAAGCAAATATGACAGAAGGTGTATTGACAGCCATGAACGCTACGTTTGTACTCAGTGAATTAAATTACCAACAGAATATCCTTCCCCTGGGATGTGTTAATAAATGTACGATCAGTGCCTCTGATCTTTTCTGGCATCCACTCAAATTAAACTCACTGTCATGGAAAGATATCAACTGCTTCTGCAGTGGTCAGACGGATAAGAGGTTTTAGGTCTTAGTTAGTATTACGTTAACTGTCTTAGACAGGATGAAATAGATACCCCGAGGGATTATCCCTTTGGCCTTTGCAGCCGAGATAATCCTGATACACAGTGGGAAACACGCTTCAGTGTACACGGCTGTCTCCATCACAGTCGGTGTTCATTAGTGACTCCCTCTGCAGATTTTTCACATTTCTTTTTTTGGGATTTCTTCACATTCGCTGCTTTGTTGCTTTTTCCATGAGAATGAAGAGGCTGACATTTCTCAGCACATGAAAAAAACATGTTAGCTCCACAGTGGATTCACCCACTTTTATACCAGAACCAGAGTTTGACTGAAGAAATACACAGAGCTGAGAGGAAAACAGCAAACCACACTTACTGCCTGAATTGAACAGCACGATGTCTTTATCAACAGATGACGTGCACCTTCAAGTGATGTGATCACACACAACATGAGCATTTCAACATATTCTTCATTAAAATTATGAGTCATTGTCTCAGTATGTAACACACAATGCTCTATTGGAAGGTGTATAGAGAAGATATATCACTTTTTTTTTTTTTTTTTAAAGTAACACTATTATGTGAAGTTCCACTAAAGCAGCGTTCATCTTCCATTTGAAACCAATAAAATGTCCACATGTAGACAATCTGGAGCCCTGCATTGATTCTAATACCAGAAAATCCATCAATAATGACAAAGGGAATAAATGGTACAATTAAACATTAAATATTTATTGAGAGAACTGGAGCACATTGGTTATATTTCTGCACCGACACACTGCGTTTTCATACCGTTCGTAGGCTGTATAGTCCAAACTGTGAGTGTTTCCCATTTAAAGGATGGGTAAGAGTGCAAACATATAGAATATATAAATCTCCAGCATCACGTCAACTTTTCATAATGTCAAACAAACATAAACAATGCCAATGTAGTCACAGGAAAGCAGAACTTCACACAGAGATATGAAGTAATCTAATAGCATCTCAATACTCCTGAGATCAAAACAAATGTTTAGGGTTAGGGTGAGGAAATTCTCAAGGCTTTTAATGTAGGAAACAGACATGGAGTAAATAACCACAGGCCACTTAGTCTGTGCAGCCTGCAGACTAAGTGCTAACCACAACATTTTACATGATCATTTTAACAAATAATTTATTGAACATGGTTAACAAATACTGTGTAATATAAAATATATAAATCTAAGGAAATGTAGTGCAGCAGGAGGCTACGAGGGCTTAAGTTCAGGCTGTCATCAACACCGTCCAGCTCTCTGCCTGGTCTGGGTTTCATGTTGCTGCAGTTTCTGGCCGATATGTTTAACATTCACACAAGAATATTGCAAGAGACTGTAATGATGTGCAGGCAGGTGTCATAGAAACTCATGTACAGTCGTGACTCGATAATCTGACACTAAATGTAAAACCTTCTTCTATGTCGGATAGCAAGGCTGTCGGATTGTCAAGATGGAGGTGGAGATACGAGGAGGGCTTGATGCTGGAAGGTTCATTTGCTGTTAATATTCATTGTTCATAGTTGTTATAATAACTAGTGTATTGTTAGAACACTACGCATCACTGGATTTCACGCCGAACTGACCGGTGCGATTGTGCACGTTCCGGCCACTTCCACTCCAGGGCGGCGCTCTGACGGGGTGGAAGTGGCCAGAACGCACAGGCAGTACTTGGCTGCTGATGCTAGTTTAGTTAGCACTCACAGTTCTGTTTCCACCATCGGTGGCGGCGGGGGAGTGGCAGAGACGCTCCACCGTTACCATCAGTGTTTACCTCCATAAACACTGAGCACGCTCACTGCGTGTGATGTCATCGTGTCCTCTTCTGCGCATGCGGGACACTTTTGGGTCGTATGAAGTTCACACAGCAGATCACATACAAGTCGCATTTAACTGGAAATGTGAACGAACTCGCCAAAAAAATGGATTTCACAAGAAAATCCGAATTGAGCATCAAGTCCTGCAGTGTGAACGTAGCCAATCTGTGGGATTGTTCAGTCAGATAATACGCCGTTATCCTGATTGGTGACATTAAATGTCATGTCGGAGTCAGAATCCAAGGCTGTCGGTATGTTAAGGCTGTTTTTTATGGGTTCCGTTAGTTTTTCCTAAAAACCTGTCAGATAGCAGGCTTAGGATTGTTAAGGGTCGGCTTATCGAGTCACGACTGTATTTAGCTTGATAATGATTGAAAATGAATTTAAATTCAATAACTAAATGACCCTCATTTCTCCTGTTTTTGGATGCACTAAGTGTGTTTTTGCCCTTTCAATAACTGGTGTGATTGTTAGTAAAGACATCGTATCTGATGGTCTCGCACACATGCAAGTTGTACGTTCTTGTATTGTTTTGACTGCAGAACAACTGAACTTATCAAGCGATCATTGAGACAAATTGAGCAAATACTCCACGACAGTACCTACTTATTGCCAAAGAGCCACTAAAAATACAATAAAATATACCAATAATAAAAATAATAATAATAGGCAACTCAGATACTCTCATAGTAATAAACTGTAAATGTCTTCATTTCATGGTACAACTGGCTTTAAAAAAAACTTCTACTCCATGATGAACACCATGTGTGACAAACTAAAACACATTTTCATTCACATCTCATTGACAAATATCATGGGCCCTTTAGAAACCACCTTATCCTCTCTGTCATATATCACCGGTTTGCCGAGATACGTCTGCGGTAAGCTGAAGCTTACTTGTGGCTGGTTGATGCTAGCTTGTCTCTGGACCTGCGCACCAAAATCCCCCTTTGACTGATTGAAGCTGTTCTGCCTGGAGAGACTGAAACCCTCCTCCGGCTGCTCGAAGCTGCTCTCGCTGTAAAGGCGCTGTCGCATTTCACTGGAACGTTTCCCAGAAGCGCTCCTGGTCGGGTACCTCTGGCCGGTCTTGTACCAGCCCGTCTCTTTGAAGACGAACCAAATGTTCCCGACCCAGAGGACCACGTTAACGAAACCAAAAACCTGAAAACAGCAAAGACAGACAGGTGTAAATGTCTGGTTCTTTCCAGCTCTCTGTCAGATCTTGTCTCTGAACACCCACCGCAGACGTGTTGAGACGGGACCACAGAGGCTCCTCGGTAACTGCACATTTGTTTTCCTGAGATCTGCAGGCGGAGATGAGGAGGAGCACCTGTGTCGGGTTCGTGGCCGTCTTGATGTCAGAAAGAGCTTTGGCCCAACAGCAGCTGCTGACCAGCCACATGAAGGAGAAGATGACTGTCACCACGAAATCCTGCCACAACAAGAGAGGAAGTCACACCAAAAACTTACATACAAACTCAGCACAATCCCGCTGTAACCTGAACCTATTTAAGGACCGTTAGAGGTGCTGAAACCTCACTGACCACAAGTGGGCCTCTGTTGTGCTTCAGGTACTTGTTCTGGTAGAAGACGTAGACGATGGTCGCCAGCAGCGAGTACAGGAAAGCAAAAACACCCACGGTGACGAAAAACTGAGCAGCCGGGGAGAAGTCGCCGTCCAGGAAGAGAATCTCTCCTCGTTTCACGTCGCACAAGGGAGCCTTGAAATGCACTTGGTGCAATCTGCAGGAGGAATAAAATAACACCTTCTTTCTCATAAGATGAACAAAAAACTTCTGAACTGGCTTCCAGAGACAAAAAGGAAAAGTCGTTCTGGAACAAAGCTGAAATAATACCTGTAATGAGGGGCAGTTCACATGTAAGACCGTGTTGTGGGGCATCAGTGAGTACAGCTACTGTGTGGCCGTGACACTGATTTAATTACTGGGTAAAGGAGTGCTGGGTGTTCATTAGCCTACTGGGGTGCACGTAAGGCATCAGCTTGGGAAGAATATAATAATAAATAAAAATGGATTTCAGGCAATTATTGTAAAAACAGAGTTTACACATTTGTCTTCACATAGTGCAGGTTTAACAATGTGATCCACAGAAACATTTAGCTACCAAATCAACTGCATTATTTGGATCGTGCTGGTCAGCTGATACCTCTGGATTTCAGTATTCATGCTTAAATTTAGCATCACTGCTGTTTAAAAGAAATAAACTGAGCACCTTGTGTTGTCAGCCTGGATAACTGTGCAGTTTATACGTCACAATTATGGGTTACAGGGAACGAGCAAAGTCAAACCGGGTGAACTGGTAATTAGACACTGGCTGACAGTAGATCTGTAGAACGGAGGCGGTTGATCACGCTGAGGTACAACCAAAGCAGAACCCCATCTGTGTTCACCTCAACCTAAACACTACACAGTCCAGTCCGAACATACTGGAGAGCAATCTTCAAAGACAAACAGTAAAACAGCTTTACTTATTGTAAAAGTAAAACCATTAGCATCCGTTGCAGTTTCATTTAATTCAAGTATGATGGCATTTTAAATCAAAATTGTACAACTGCACAACCTGAAAGACAAAAATAATCTATATATATATACATTACAGTGTGACTGACCCTCAGAACATTTTGTTTACATTATTTAACCCTACAACACGAAGCAGTTTTGATGCTGCAAATTTGCAGATACACTGATAAAATAGTGACACAACGCAGTAACGATCCACCAAAGCTTAAGTCTTAACCGATAAGACTGGAGGCGCAGTTGTGTCTAATGATGCCGGGAAACATTTCACACTCGGGGATGTTAAATTGGGTCGAGTTCTTGCTCAGCTGTCCAGCCTCCTGACCTTAAATTGGGTGAAAGAGAGCAGCTCTTCTGTTCAGAGGCTGACAGCACGCTCCAAGAGAGGTGCAGCTTTAAATCTTTTCTGTCTCTTCTTGAAATAATTTAAAACAAAATACTTATGAGTTCATTTAAATGATCCATACGCTACTTATCTAATGAGATCAGATGCAAAATATTAAATGTACAACCTTGTTTTGTGTCATTAAAGAGTCTTTGATTGGACGTGATGTCAAAGAAAGAACGACTACTTCACCTGAAAGGATAGCCAAAATCAATGTTGATGCTGCGGTTGCTGTGCCTCCTGTCTGCACAGTCCACTTTAACCTGGAGGTGACCAGAGTATCCTCCACATGTTGCAAAAGCACAAATGGCAAAAATCTGTGGGGAGAAAGAAGAAAAAAAAAGAAATGGAATCACTACCAGCTCATAATTCATTCATCTGGATTCACCAAAAGCGTTTTACTTCAATCAGGGTGCGATCGCTGCTTCCTGCATTATGTATAGACATCAATAAATTACACTATTAAGATGTATAATTGGTTTGAAAACAAAACCTGAATAATTTAAAGGTTGGAAGACAACTAACGGAGCTGCTCACTGTGCCCTGGAGGGAGGCCACAGCGGTACAGTGAGATCCAGTTTGTAGATGTAACACACAACTCTGGACCGTTTTGTCTTTAGATTTCAAGTCAACAATCTTTAATCTGTGTCAGCAGCTCTGAACTTTCTTTGAAAACATCTGCCAAACTGCCAAACCAGACGAATACTTGATCAAATTGTGTTTCACTTCACTTCACAAGAACATGATGATCACACCTCTGAACATGTTGTAATCCATAAACTACAATCAGCACCACAAGTGACGAGAAGCAGGCCAGACTAAAGGGATAAATGGAACTTACCGGAGCGAATATAACCATACACATTTAAAAATCAAAGAGTCCGACTCGGCACGGTGCTGACAGCTCCAGTCATCAGGTTGAAATGTCACAGACGCAGACAGAAAAAAGCAGCGCGACTCTTCCAGCCGAGGGGAGGGCTGACAGGAGGTGTCTTCCCCGAGGAGGAGGCTTTCCGTTAGTCGTAATAAACTACCAAACTCGAATTGAAACTCTCGTACAGGCTGCATCAGAAACGTGGAACAAGAGCAAATATCTGGGGCAGTGTTTTCATCATTAATTATTCCTCTGAGCTAAATCTGGTGGCTGCACAGAGTCAAACATAAACCATGGGGTTGTGTCGTGTTGTTTAACTTTACTCTGATCACATTGTGTGCAGCTGGGAGGGAAACAAATGGTGCTGAATATATATATAGGAGCCCAACGAATGAATAAAAGTAATGAGTTTGTTCCCCGTCTGAATTCATCTCGTGATGATGCATGGTGATGTGTTTAATCTAATATACATTACTGCAAACCAATTCCATAAGATGTGTTTCCATAGTAACCTTCCTGGATGTTGAATAAAGCATGACTTTTTTTTTTCTGACTCCTCGGCAGAGCGTTTAAGTTGATCAGAGGAACATGGGTTTAAACATGATTTATCATCCAAAGCGTTCAGATTTTACTCACGCTGTGATTGAAACAGCAGAAGCCATAAGTTTGGCTGCTTAAGGGCACACTTTCATTTCCATGTGGTTCATGTAGAACATATGCATCACTGTGAATCTCATATCGTATCTGATGAATATATTGATTGCATTTCCCTCAACGACATATGAGCCTCATTAGTTCTTGGTTCAGAGCTAAACATCATGTGATTTCATGCGGTTTATTAACTTCCAGCTCAGTAAAATTTCAGATTATATTTAACTTTGGATTCTAATCACTGAAGGATACTTTAATTACATTTCATTTACTAAAGATCCACTCCTATTTAGGCCAGTTTCTCCGTTATAAAAAGCCTCCTGCTGACCTCTTTTGGTGATAAATGTGTATTACAGATATATTTTTAAGCAGGGATGAAATTGGGGTTGAGCACATCACCGAGTAAAATTAGTAACGCACCAAACTGCAACCTGGATTTCAGCGATACAATAAATCAGGAGGTGTTGCAGACGCTGCATCAGCGCTGAGAAATATATCACGCTCCGTGTTCATGAGTACAAAATGTACTTACTGGGAACCGGAGATGGATGTTAGATGGCAACTTCTTCCAAGTTACAGGTGTCAAAGTCGTGCAACTGCCACGATCACACCTATCATCACACACTTTACAAAAACGTGGTGCTTTGAGAGACAAAAAGTACCAACAAATGGAAATAATAAGATAGGATAAAGGTAAAAACAACACGGGACAATAATAAATGAGGATAAATGGGAGAAGTATATGGTAAAGTAACTCAGAATGAAATTAAGATTACAAGATGAAATAAAAAAAGTTAGAAAGAGAGAATCACATCACACCGGATTATTGAACTAATTTGGCTGCACAATAAAATAACTGCTTATAGAGCTGTAGTTTTTCAAAGTAAAAGGCCTCTGAGCTTCATTTGTGCTGCCTTTAAACTGGATCCATCATCTATACACCGCTTAATCCTCACTAGGGTCATGGGGGGCTGGAGTCTATCCCAGCTGACTCAGGGTGAAGGCAGGTTCACCTGGACAGGTAACCAGTCTATCACAGGGCTACACTTAGAGACAGACAACCAAGCACACTCACATTCACACCTACGGACAATTTAGAATCACCAATTAACCTCAACATGTTTCTGGACTGTGGGAGGAAGCTGGAGAACCCGGAGAGAACCCACGCTGCACGGGGAGAACATGGAGAGTCCACACAGAACGATCTCGGGTGTCCTCACCAGGACGTGCACCGGCGACCTTCTTGCTGTGAGGCAACGATGCTAACCACCGCTCCACCTTGGTCCAAACTGGATATTTGGCTTCATTTAAAGCTGCTGCAGATTTGACAGTGACATTAATTTGACAGTGACAACGTAAATAGATCTTAAAATATCTTGTGAATCACTGGAATCCGTACAAAAGTAAATGGGCCACTGGAATCTTAAAAGTAATCATCAACAACAAGGGCCGATTTTAGATTGAAACACCAAAAATACTGCCTCATAAGCGTCATTGGAAGTCTGTCTTGAGGGCGCTTTGATTACCTAACTCCCTCGGGCAGGAGTTTGGCGTTAATGACAAAGTGATCAATCACATTTTGTTGAGCCAGAAAAACAGTGTTTGCCAGAGGAGCTCAGGCTGCTATGAGCTGAAAAATGGCAGACTTTGTTTAGAAGGCTCTGAAAACCACTTGTGAAAGTAATGGATACCCAGAACGGGAGACAGACATCGTGACAGGCTGATGGGGACATCAAAGTGATATAACAACAGAGGTGGATGCAGCAGTCTAGACAAGAAGAGACACGAAAACAATCCTCAAAGACAGAGATGGTTCGCTTCTTACTCTTGCTTCTGCAAAACTGTCTGCGTTGGGCTCATTCGTTGGCTGACTGGATGAGATAGTGGAGCAGATCCACTGAGCAACATCCAGTTGGTCTTCTGACTGCAAGAAACTCTGGTGAAGGTTGCAGGGAACGTATTGCAGTAGATACAGTGAGGCATCGCTGGATATCATCAGTGTGGCAGTGCAGAGAGGTGTGAGCTAGGAAGTGGAACCAAAGAGAAATATGTTGCTTTTAAAAAAACATCACACGTGCAGGTTGTTGATGCATCGTCTGGGCTGACGGAGGATATATTCTGTCTGGTGCTGTTACATCAGTTACAGGCCGGCGTGTCCGTACCGAGAACAACACGTCTCAGCGGCGGTGGGAGAAATATTCTGATTGTTTACGAAAGAACGGGCAAGAGGCAGCAACACAAGTCCATTAAATATAAAAGATAGAAGCACTACAAGTGAAGGCGAAGAGATGTGTGCTGGAACAGGCACGGTTATGTAGAATCATCTGTGTTTTTACTGTTAGGTGGTTGGATCATTATTGATGTGAGCGGGTTTTGCAGCACATACAGTCGTCCTCAGATGTATTCAAACCCTCCCGTTCAAGAAGGAAAGAAACAGCTGAAATAAATTGAAATTGACAAAAGCAATAAAAATAAAATAAAAAATTTACGAAAATCCTGACATTGCTTTTGAATTGTGGTTCAACAGAAATGTATTTTTAAAAGACAACAACAAGCAAACAAACATGACGGGACCCATGAACTATTATTTAGTTGAACAACCCTTTGAGCCAATCACTGCCTTCAGGTGTTTCCTGTAACTCTCAGTCAGACACCTGTTGACAGGTAATCTGGCCCACTGCTCATCAGCAAAGTGCTCTAATGTAACAGATTTTATTTTATTTTTTTAAATGATTTTTTTCAATCAAAATTCAAAAGCAATGTCTCATTTCACTAAGTTGGAATTTAGCAAATTTTTATTTATTATTACTTTTTTCAGTTTCTAATTATTTGAGTGATTTTTGTGAATTCTGCCTTTTCTTTAATGGAAGACGACGACTGTGCTGTAGCAGCTGGTCAAGCTGTGGCCTCATTTAACTTCTTCACATACTGATGGGTTTACATATGATTTGTATTTAAACCATAGTAAAGCTGTGAAATAGATGCATAAAGGGGCAATAAAATGATCCTACTGTAGGTCGGGCACCTTTAAGGACCTGTTTGGAGAACTTAGTGCCATCTAGTGGTGACGTTACAGATTGCAAACCAATTAAATTCTCCTCAGCCTCCTCTCCCCTGCATAGTTAGATGGTGGCTGCTAAAAACATCAGAGGGCCTCTCTGCAGGACCACGGTGGGACTCTGTGGAGGAACCTGCTGCCTCTGTAGACACAAAGGGCTCTGGGTTCGCTACCAAAACCACCACAGCTCTTGTTTTCATCTGATTATACACTAATAAAATCACAATTATGAATATTATATCGCATTTCTGCCAACAGATCCAGATAAATCCTACACACCGGACACAACAGTAGTTCAGTAGATGTAGCTTTAACGAACACCCTAATGATTACAGAATCCCTCGTAGATGTCATCTTAGTCCACGATCCTGCGAGGAGCAGCCTAACACTTTGTTGCCAGTAGCAACCGCTGCTGACAGTTCTGTCGCCGTGACAGACTTCCATCCAGCCTTTTGTCAGATGTGCAACCGAGAAAAGGCTGACAAGTGTCTTTTATTTCCTCCCCAAATGTCCTTGCTGGATGACTATTTACAGGTACTCGTCATATGAAAGCTGTTTTGCAGCGTAATCTTTTCTTTCAGAGGAAACACGCTGCTGGAAAGTGAGTTATGCCATAAAGCGAGGGTGTCCGTGGTGAAAACGTGCACGGGGTTTTGAAGCCGGTACATGACAGAGGAAACAGAGAGAAGCGTTGGTTTTTACTGTGATCTACAGCCGCCGGCGTGCTTTACAGTCTGTGTCTTTCGATTGCCCAGGCTGCTGCTGCTGCAATAACTTAGCTCGGCCTGTAATTAGGTTTCCCTATGACAGATTCACTGCTAACGAAGCTTGTCATTGACCCTTTTTATGCAAGGCACGTTGGCATTTTACAAGTGCAAATGTTAAAATCAGCGATGTCTGGATTCAGCTGTTCTCGTGATGCGCATGTTGTCACACTGTCGTGGCTTCCTGGAACACTTGAGCAGAACAAAGCAGAGGTCAGACGGTGGAGAAAGGCAGCGGTGACCTCCAGGAAACACAATAGCTGGTGGTCTTGTCGGCGCTGACCTTTAGTCTTATGATTGACATTTGGGGCCTTTGAGTGAAAGTGAACCAAAATATCTGTGTAGCTGCTTGGCATTAGCATTTTTCCGTCGCTACATGCTGATCAGGTGACTTTTGATGGTCTTCTTGTCTTGTGGGTGTCTCGTGTGATCGTACCATTGAATTTGAATAATCCAATTATGTTATCACACTTTCACATTTCTGTCTTCAGCCTTTACAGGTGTGTTTTGCCAACTGC